TGTAATTGTATACAGATAATTCAAATAAAGCTGTCATCGTCAGTTTACAGATGAACGAGCTCCAAGACCCCAAACAGCTATCATAAATAACGATGAAAGATTACAGATCTTTGGCATAGATCATGTGACATGACGTATCTTGTATTGTGAAGGCTGAGCTCTATGCTATTGTTTTTTTTTGGAGTTGATCGTGCTTTTAAGAAACCCTGTCTCAGTGTTTTGTGAACCGGACTATCTGGGTATTGATTGCCTGGACCACTTGATTATAGGAAAAGGATAGCCGAACACAACAATTTTGGGACGTTAAGAAATTGACGCTCTTAGATCCCTTACTCGGTCTTACATGATAAATAACGTCACATTCCGTCATTCCGTCATTCCGTCATTCGGTCTTACATGATAAATAACGTCACATTCCGTCATTCGGTCTTACATGATAAATAACGTCACATTCCGTCATTTGTTTGATAATAAAGTTATCAATTATTGAGTTTCAAACAGGATGGTGCCCCAGCCATGCATTTTTACTAAAAATGTTTACGTGATATATGACGCCGTCACATACTATTACAGCAACTCGATTTGGSTTGAGTTTGATGAAGACATTTCCTTCAATTTCCTCACGATAATTTAGCGTCGTTGGAAGGATAGCAATAACGGAGTTTGTTTGGTCTGGTATGATTTACAAAAATACAATTTAGCAGGATTTGCATCCAATTTCACACAGTCATATGAGTGATGTCACATGACGTAATGTCTTTGGGATGTTAACGTTCTTTCAAACTCGACGAACAGATTGAAACTGTAGATCTAGACTCGGACGCACTTCGGGCAGCCTGAGTGATAGTGATCTTTTGGATTATTGCCGTCATTTGGCATTTATGAAGTATCAAGATGGCAGATGTTAAATTAAAACTAATGACTACAAGTTTCTATGAAATATTGATGCTTACATAAGATGCTTGCAAACTATGTGTGCTAAAAGATCTGTCTAGAAAATAGCTAAAACCTGTGTTTCGACAAAAAGCTTGAAACACCAGAAACAAGCACAAGAAAAACTTTTAAAGGATAAAGCTTATTGTATTGGTCTTTGTTCCCATGTTTGTATGATCCAATTATTATAAAAATTATCTGTTTACATTAAGACTGTTTACAAATTTGCATTTTCTCCAAATTAAGAATAACCCTGAAATTCCAAAAAATGTTATTAAAAGTTTATAACACATCTGGGAATACCGGGTTTGCTTTAACTCAGGAAAATGCAAATTGTAAGGGCTATTGCAATTACAACATGTTTTCTTTCAATTTTGGTGGGTGCAAGAGAATCTGTTATCATAGAAAACAGAGTGCTTATCCGCTTTGAATTCAAAAATGGAATATTTTGACGCTATACATAGTCCTATATTCTATATTGTGATCATTACATCAATGGAAATCAGTACCTTCACCTGAAGGTAACGTAAATAACAAATATTGCAACATGATTACTAGCGTGAATAATTTTCGTACCAGATCCTGCTCTCTTTCCCGAATGCAATAAAGCAGTTTTAATTGATTATTTCAGGAACTTCACAATTAAAACAACTTTAAAAACATAAACACGTGAAAGCACTTCAAGAAACTAAGGGAAGTSAAGTCAAGTCTAATACTCTCTGAAACCAAAACCGCAATTATGATCTCTTTACTCAACCTTAATGCACCTATCAATGTTTTGCYGGGAAATTGACATTTTCGATTTTTAAAATTCAAAATCCCTACCCCTGGTCCATTGGTATCGATCAAATTCCCGGCCCTCGGGACAAAAAGTGTTTCATACTAGATTATTATAAAACTCATTAATATTCATAAGGCAAAACACAATAGAAATCATAGCCCATGAAGAGAGTTGTATATTACATACAGATCGCCCGCTCATATTGTATATATTACTTACAGGTTATTGAGCTATGAACAAAGGGACAAATAATGACTGAATGCTAAATTCATTTTTGTAATAAGTTTAATCATTTAATCACATCGTATTTTACATGATAAATCAAGTGAAAGTAGTTTGATATTTACCTTCTCCGCACAAGGTGATCGCGAGGTGCGTGAAACGCTCCAGTTGACTTCTGGATAAAACTAGTTTCCAGGATTGCTCGGCATTCAAAATGGCGTCCATTAGTTGCAAATTTTCCCTGTCAAATTTCCCCTCCCCAGAGATTCAAATCGAAATCCCCTCTCCAGGGATATTTTAAAAATCAAATCCCCGGGGTTCGCCCGCCCTTCCCTAACCTGGGGCAAAACATTGATAGGTGCATAAATCTAATTCACAAGACCAAACATAACAGTCCCAGGGGTCATAATTGCAAATTCTAATATTTCAACCTAGACAATTTTGATTTTATCTGATTGAGCTTTCGACCTAAGAGAGCATAGCCTGCGTGGCGGCTCTAGGGGAGGGGGGAGGGGGAAAACGGAAGGGGAGGGGGTTTCCCCCCTCTCTCTTCCCCTAGAGCCGCCACGCAGGCTAAAGAGAGCATCTTCAGGGTGACAATCTTCAATAACAAAAAAAAACTTCACTTCAAACAAAGAGAAAAACAACAACGTGCGCGTGCAATAACACAAAAGAAAAGAACTAATCACCAATCAAGCTTAAATAGCTAGATGGTAGAATTCTACCCACGTCTCTATTAAACAAAGTGTCACCCAAACTGCAGGACATGTATGACAGATGATGGGGAGATGATGGGGAGATGGGGAGCAAGGATCGCCGAGCGCGGTTAAAACGCCGGTCTATCACCGCTGTTGTCCTGGTTTGATTCYCGGTCCAGGACTATATGTGTTGAGTTCTAGTGTGCTGCTTCTCTCTCTTGCTCCGAGGGTTTTTCTCCAGATCCGCTGGTTTGCCTCCCTCCGTCAAAAACTAGCTGTGAGGAGACAGACTTTACGGAATATTAAAAAAAAAGATATTGATCAGTGTAATTCAATGTTTTTCAAGCCTGTGGTGGCTTCCGAAATAGACGACATAATTAATTCGCTCTCCAATAACAAAACTTATGGTCTATATTCTTGTCCAACAACTTTTTTAAAAGCTGCTAAATTTTTTCTAAGYGAASATCTTGCGAAACTAATGAATTTGTCGGTWCAAACAGGTAAATATCCAACTAAACTTAAAATTTCAAAAATTTGTCCCATTTACAAATCTGAGGATGAATCTGAACCTAGTAACTATAGACMTATTTCGTTGCTCTCGGTGTTTAATAAAATTTTTGAAAAAACAATGTACAATAGATTAATTAGTTTCATAGAAAAAAATAATATTCTTTCTGACATGCAATATGGCTTTAGAAAAAAACATTCTACTCAACACGCTCTTCTTGATATAATTAGTAAAATTCAATATAATATGGATCATAAATCTTACACATGCGCAGTTTTTATTGATCTAGCTAAAGCATTCGATACTGTTGATCATTTTATCCTTATGAAAAAACTGGACAGATATGGTATAAGAGGGTGTGTGCATAATTGGTTTAATTCTTATTTATCTAAAAGAACCCAAACAACTAGCATTAACAATTTTATTTCAAATAAAGAGGAGATAAACTTCGGTGTTCCTCAGGGTTCTATCCTAGGCCCTATTTTGTTCCTACTTTAYATAAATRATATTTGCAAATCTYCTAATAATCTAAAATTTCACCTTTTTGCAGACGATACTAATATTCTTTACTCAAGCAATTGTTTAAAAACCATTSAAAGAGAAATGAACAATGAACTCTCAAAGCTTCATGATTGGTTAACTGCAAATAAACTTACGATTAATATTAAAAAATCTAATTTTGTATTATTCAAATCTCCGCGTATCAAACAKAATTACACATTGAATATCAAGATATTGGATAATATAACTAATAAGTATATACCTCTTGARCAAAAAGATTATGTGAAATATCTTGGCGTTCTATAGGATAGTAGCCTGTCTTGGAAACCACACATTCTCTACATAAGCAAAAAAGTGAGCAGAATAGTGGGCATATTAGCAGATTAAGACATTTTTTACCAAAAAATACTTTAATTAAAATGTATAAATCTTTACTGCAACCACTATTCTTATATGGAATTTCTACCTGGGGACCAGCGTGTAAAAGTTCCCTCAACAAATTACTCGTTCTACAGAAACGCGCTCTGAGGTCAGTATTTTTTCAGAACTCTACAAAGCGCCATTCCTCTTTTCATCGAAACTGAAGTATTACCGTTGAAATCACTTTACATTTACTCCGTAGCACAATTGATGTACGATGTCAATCATAATAACATTCCTAGCAATGTTAGTAATCTTTTTACTTATGTTAAAGACATTCATTCACACAATACTAGACCTTCAGCTAGAGATAATTTTTACACTAGCTATTCACGTTTAAATACACAGGCCAGTTCTTTCTCACGATCCCAGCCACTACTAAAAATTYATCAAAAAAAAGCTTCCAAAAGGAAATTAAGTGAAACTTATTTTAAAAACGATCTGAATATTAATCATTATGATATTGATATCACTAAGATATTTAGTAACTCTCTGAATTCCTTTAGTTCGTTAATGGTTATTTGTAAAATATACATTAGATTACATTTTTTTTTGTTGTTGTTGTTGTCGCTTCTTTTCTTTCTTTCTTGTTTCAAATTTTTCTGTATTCAAATTTAATTCTCCATTTTACAATAGATACGTCTAAAACATTAT